TTAACTAATTCATGGGAATGATATCTGAATCCAACTCAGGTACACACAGAATTTCGTCAACGATCTATCAAAACAGCACTGTGTCTGTCATGGCACGAAGTGCATTATGCAAATATTGAAGATAGATAAATACAAATATAAAAGAAATACACTCGGCGTTTCTTTCATTTATAGACGCATACACTTTTCGAGAGCATTTGCGCTAAAGCCACTTCGGAGAAAAAATATTTAAAAACAGCATATCTTTAGCATTCCCGATAAGCAGTATTAACTGAAGATTAAAATATTTTATTCCCTATAGGGTTGCCACAGCTCGCTTTGAAATCGTTAAATTTTCTAATAGAAAATTCGTTAAAGTTTTACAAAATATGATCATTTGCATAAAACGCGATACTAAAAACACCTTCTAGTAGTAAATATTAGATAGGAAACGAGAATAGACAGTAAAGCATGTTCAAACTTAAATTAGAAACTTAAAATAACCTTTGCATGCTGATTAAATTTAATTTTTTGTATGGAAACATTTGAGTTTTATTTCATACTAAAAAACTGAAATTACTTTTTTGCCAACCCGATATATTCAAACCAAACTAAAACATATAAATTATCTCAAAACTAAGACAATAGTACTGGAATCTATGAATTCTGGTTTTGATATAGTATATACATATGAAAAGTTTAAAACTGTTAATTTATAATATATTCAAGAAAGATAACATTCTAGAAAATTTTCTGAAATTTAAATATTCGTCCCCAAATTTGATTGATATAAATTTGTCAGTTTGCGTGCTTTTTAAACTATGAGTATAAATTAAATTTCTTCAAGAGCATCAGAAATGCGAAAACAAATAAACAAATATAATAATAAGCAATAAAACATAAATAATTAAATTAAATACAACTCAAAATAGCAAATAAAAAACATCAAAGTAAAGGCAATTAGAGGAGTAATAAATTTAACTAATACATCCTAAAATTAAATGAAATGAAAAACACCGGAAAGCTAACAAAATAAATAATAACAAGACGTAATATGTTGAGGATGAAAGGAAGATTTTGAATAGGACTTTTCCCTGTCATATGAAATTGCTTCTTTATCTTGGCATTTAATTCGTTTAAAACCTTCTTAACCATATAGTAGGGCCTATAAATATCACACTTCTTAAAGAAATAACATTTCGAAATGCGCAGTTTTTTCTTCCGGGCACTAAGCTTTTCCACGTATTTTATTGTTCCAAGAGAAAGTGAGGCATATATTCAGTAGATAGCATTCAATAATACTTTTACTAACTTCTAAAAGAAATGCAACATTTTAATAGAATGTTTTGTTTGTATTGCGATCCAGTTACTCAACAAAGTACAGGAATGTTCGAGTTCCGCCTTGACGTTCAAAAACTGATGATGAGCACTGATCAGATGAGCTCCGACTGAATTTAAGCACGGAAAAACACAGTGTCTTACTAGACAGCCTTTCGAAAGGTTATAATTCATGCTACACACAGAAGTATCCTCGAAAACACTTGTTTAGTTAGTTTGTTTCGCTGCGAACTTCGAATTTCCAATATTTCTTTTTTATTTCGAATTAACATAGTAATTATTTTTTACATTACATTTCTAACAACCGCCTGCGCCGGAAATCGAATCACGGACCTCTGAAATACCGGCTCAGTGTGCTCACCCCGAAGGCACGCTAGGAAGGCTGGAGAAATACCTTATATTCCTCCCCTTTTAAAGGGCGACTGGTGTTTTTAGGGGACCCAATTGCAAAATCCTCGGTGTGGAGAATCCTCATCCAACACCCTTTTAGTTCGGGCGCCACTGTAGAGACATTAGGTATTTTTGGAAGATAAAAAATTAGCAAACGCCTTCGCGAGGAATCGAACCACGTACCTCTGGAATACCGGGCCAGCGTGCAGAACCACTACACCACGAAGGCACGCCAAGAAGGTGGGAGATATACCTTATAGCATAAAAGAAGATTATGCAAAGGCGATTGAATCAAGAGCATATTAAAACCTAAGCAAAACATTTTAACGAAGTTGAATGCATATTATTTGAAAATTGTTGATGCGAAAGTAAGCAAGAAAGACACCAAGAGATTGCTTGTTATTCGTTCTGTAACTGAAGGTTATATATAAAACAATTAAACAATGCACATGAGCTAAGATTTTTAGGAGCAAATTATCCTTGGTGAGTTAGATTAAATCTTAGCTTTTTATTAGGCTTGTAATAAATCCAGCAATTACAAGGTGTCTTCGCAACTCTTCAGAAAAGTCTTAAACACGTGTCTTAGACTTTTTCAAACTTTGAAGAGCTTTCATTAGTGCTTAAATATTTTTCACAGTTTATTTTATGTTTTCTTTTGCAACTATAAAACAAATTCACCTTAATTCTCTTCCAGAAATACATTATTTGAATAATTATAGTTTTAAAGAACGAAATTTAACTGATTATTAATGAATCTTTGGTGCATGATTAAAACCATCATTAGTTATTTCATTTCTTTGCAATAATTGCAACTTCTTCACGATACTCGTGAAAAGAAAATCCGAAAAAATACAATGCTTTATAAAAGTCATTAAATGCATCATAGTTGCGAGGCAAGTTTGGCAAATGTATTTTTAAAGATAGAGTTTTCATCCTAATTGCTCATTCTTTCTGTAGACAACAAACTATTCATTTACAAAAACATCTTGCGTCCCATGATATGTTATGCCGCTTTGGATGGACGTACTCAAGTCACATTAATTGAAAATAATTGTAGACTTCACAAAATATTTTTCTCTGACAAATACACAGTAAACTTTGGTATATTCGTAACAATATTAAATAAATGAAGTGATGAATATTGTGCAGTTTAGAAATACACCCTAAGCTAGTTAAGAAAATAATTGAAAAATCGTCCTTAATTAAGTTATTAACAATGATGATTACGATATAGAGAATTTATATACGAATTTATGATTCGAATTAAAAAAAATTCCCCTCTCCTCTCTCTTGTGTTTTCATTCGTCCTTTACAATGCTCTTCTTTGCAAATGTTTTAAGCCCACAGTTTTCGTCTCATGTGCGTTGTTCCCAAGCCGTTTATCGTTTTTCAGTGCGCAATTTGCGCAGGAAAAAAGTGGATTTTGCTATTCGAAAACTTCAAAATGTTTTCACTGTCATCGTAACCTTGAAAGCTCTATTGTTTTAAATCATCAAAATCTCGAGTGCATATATTCAAATAATAATCTCTGAAATTTCATTTCAAATGGTTGAGCGGATAGGCCATTAGGGGTTCATATATCGTAGAAGTTTTTTATGACCACACTACACATGATGCTCATAATATAAAACATCTTACAGAGGTTCTTAATGCATATATGAACTAAAGATAGCAATTATTAGTTGTTTTGCTTTGTTCTATTACTTATGTCTACTATCAAGATGTAAACCCTGTGAAACTTCTAATGTTTTGAAATTCAGAACTTACTGTAATGGACATTCTTTGAACTGACGGTGTTCAAAAAAATTATTCGACAGAGATAGTGCCCTCGTGTACAGGCACCCTGGTGACTGCTTGACTTGGCTTATTTAATTACGGCAAAGCACACTAGGGCTATCTGCCTAAGGGGATGGATGCCTTCGTGGAGGACTTTCTAAGGGAACTGGCTCGTATACACGTTACACATGGGGAAAACCACGAAAACGCCCATGCATCCAGCCCGTTCGCGGGATTCGAACCTCGGACCGAACTACCAGTGTTCAGTGACTTTACCGCTCGGCCGCTGGTGGGCCCCTGATGACTGCACAACTTGCATATGAAACTTGAAACGTATTTTGTTAACAGTATAAGGTATTTCTCCCACCTTCTTCTTGGCATGCCTTCATGGTGTGGTGGTCTGCACGCCGGGCGCGTATTCCAGAGGTCCGAGGTTCGATTCCCGGCGAAGGCGTTGCTAATTTTTCAATCTCTCTTGCATGTTTCCAAATATACCTAATGTCTCTACAACAGGATATATATGGATATAATTACGTGATCATTTTAAAACAGACGCATATATACGTTTTTCTTAATAATCGTTGATTGAAAACATTAAAATAGGGAATTTGAGTAATCAGCCATATGGTTTTATTATTACGCGTGCTTCATTGCTGTTTAAAACTGACACTGAACGATTAATAATGATCAAGGGCTACATATTATACGTGTTAAGTAAACAAGCTAGTAAATATCAGTATTGCGCGTATCAAATACTCTCTAACAGGGCACGGCCTTTTCGCTACCTATTTTTATGAAATGTCCAACACATAGATGAATAGTTGTACGGAAAGGAGAGACCCTAATCATTATATATTCAGTTGCAGTCTGGCAAAGGGTCACTACATTAGACGTCCACTAACAAATATGAAAGCTAAGTGCTGAGACGCGATTTCACTGCAAGGACTATTTTTCTTTAATCTTTGATTATCATCTCCACTTATTAAGGGATGCGGGTGCTTTGTAATGTTGGACACAACCCGAAAGTTTCTTATAGTACTTCACAAGGCCATCCAGTTTTCTAAATTGTAGAGGTTGCAGGTCAGCCTCAAATAGGACAATTTCTGAAGGACAGCTATGCCTCAGACCACTAATGATACGCGCAACGCTTAATTGGACTTTTTCTAATTGCTTCAGGTTGGTAACAGAAGCACAGCAGTAAATTTGAAATTCAAACTGAAGAATAACCCGGATGAACGCCGAATACGTGGTCTTAGGGTAGTATCAGTTCCTCAGTCCCTGCCTACGATCTATTTAAAAATATTAGCTGTTTTCCACTTTTCAAAACAATATGCTCAGTATGTTTGTGACTTGTAAACTCAGGGGCAAAAATGAACCCCATGTAATGACAGATGAAGGAATGATACTGGATATATTTTTGGTAAGCTTTAATTACTTCATATCTATAATTGCGAAGATTTACAAAAAGAATTAAATTTAAAGGGATAAAATTGACTATAAGTAGGGCATATACTCACGTGAAGGTAAGAACAGAACGCACGCAGCAATAGTTGCTGACAGGATTACTGCGACTACTAGAAATATCAGCCCCTTCTTTTTGCTGCATCTCACTTTCATTTGGAACTTGGGGAATAGTATTTTGGAACGCTTTCTGAAAAAGAAATATTCACAGGTTTTTAAAGAAGTGATACACACACACATATATATATATTATACAATCTTGGATAATAAATTGTAAATCCTTATGTGTAATCCTTATGTGTGCTCTCGTACAGCTAGCAAGCAGAAGAACCGCTTTTCGAATCTCTTTGGAGAGACGGTTAAGTTTCAATTTTTCTCGCTCCCAAAAGTATAATAGCATTCTTAAAATGTGACTCATTAAGTTCTCATTACTTAAATTTGATCAATTTTGGCCTAGTGCCTCCCTCTTGTTGTCCTTTAGAGAACGAAGAAAGATCGCATTCTCCAAACATGCTCTTGAGGAGTAAGTATTTACCACGGTCAGTTAGCATGTAGAAGATCCGTGATTTGAATCCCGATATAGATCCAGTTATTCATGTTTCTTTTGAAAACCTAAAACGAACTTCTAATACCAGTACCTAGCAACCAAACAACCGTATGCGCAATGCAAGTCGGTTTTCAAGCACAGTTTTCAGTTATAAGTGATTCTGGTTTCTGAAGAACTGGTTTCATTCCACAAAATCATCTTGTTATCTTCCAGTGGAATATTTAGACACACAATCAATTCTCTGATGCACCTTGCTATCTCTCTAGCATGGTCGAACAGGGATGAGACACCTGAGCACTAATGAGGCCTGGCTGTATAAGCGCTTTCGTGGTTTTTCTCATGTGTCTCATGAATGCAAGCCAGTTTTCATCAGAACGAGCGTCCACTGAGAAGATTGCATACTTCGCAATACGCGACTAGCACCAGACTAATCTCTCCAGTTATCCACATCCCATCTGAGTTATGAATCTTCTGAAAACGTTTATAAGGTATTTCTCCCACCTTCTTAGCGTGCCTTCACGGTGTAGTGGTTCTGTACGCTGGGCCGGTATTTCAGAGGTCTGTGGTTCGATTCCCGCGGAAGGCGGTTGCTAATTTTTCATCCTGTTTGCTTCCAAAAAAAAAAAAAAAAAAAGACCTAATGTCTCTACAGTGGCGCCGGAACTAAACGGGTGTTGGATGAGGTTTCTCCACACCCAGGATTTGGCGATTGGGTCCCCTGAAAACCCCAGTCGCCCTTTAAAAGGGAGTATTATATATACCCCTTAAAAGGGAATATTATATAAGGTATTTCTCTCCCCTTCTTAGCTTGCTTTCGTGGTGTAGTGGTTCTGCATGCTGAGCCGGTATTCCAGAGGTCCGTGGTTCGATTCCCAGCAAAGGTGGTTGCTAATTTTTCATCCTGCCTGCTTCCAAAAAATACCTAATGTCTCTACACCTTGTTACTCTTCTGTCAAGCATATAAACTTCGAATGAACATTTCTTTTTGTAGTATGAAAGTGTGGAATCAGGAACAAAAAAGCTCTCGTTAACATTTGAACAGTTTAACACATTTTTTTAACAAACTTATAGCACTAGTTTTTATGAAACCAAAGTATTTATATGGTTCACTGTTTAGTTTGATAAACTTTCATTTCTTCTTTTTTTTTAATATAGTGTAAAAGGATTCAAAAATATTTGACAAAAATGTAGAGATTGATAAAAGGGACCGAAATAAATAGATTTTATGATGAAACGTGTGTCCGGAAATGGGACAGTAAAGGGTGCTGATGAAAGGTAGATAAAAGCATTTTTCTGGCCTAATTCTTCACTGATCGTGCGAAACTCACCCACATGCATTTTATTTATGCGGTTCTGCTAAAACAACAGCTCCTCAGAAGAGATGTAGCGAACGATTCTCGAATACCTTCTTTGAATAGCTGTTTCGTTTCCATCCTCAATCCCATTGACAAAATGCATGTCGACAAGCTCCCCGTTCGTATAGCGATGCTTACCACAAGAAATTTAAACAGAAATGACGTTTCATGCCAGCAAAATGATTCTACTTACCGCTCAACAGCTCCCTGTATCACTACAACGAGCCATTTTACTGTTAAATTTGCTTAATTCTGTTCCTCTACCTGTTTGCATTTTTGCTAGTTATCTTTTAATCACCTTGTTTAAAAAAATTTCCATAACTTTATTAATGTATAGAAAATACTCTACATCAAGAACTATAGACGATACGCAATCATTTTTTTTTTTTTTTTTTTTTTTTTGAATTCGTAATAAAACAAAACACTCGAGTCCCCGAATTTTTTATATTATTGTATAGTAATTAGAAAAAATTTCACTAAATATTTTTAAGTTAAATAAGTTTGAAATCTGCGTCTAGTGAAAAACAAATCTGAAAATATATATTTTTGAAAACTACAGTACTGATTTAAGAAAACACAAATGCTATTTAATAAAAAGTACATAATCAAAACACCCGAATCTTGAGATTCGTTTTTCAATGTAAACTAATAAAATGGTATCCGGACATAATCCCGACAGTCGAAATCCCGACAAGCCAGAATCCAGACAGACGGAATCCCGACAAGCCAAAATCCCGACAAGCCAAAATCCCGACAGGGTCGAAATCCCGACAAACCAAAATCCCGACAGGGTCGAAATCCCGACAAGCCAAAATCCCGACAGGGTCGAAATCCCGACAAGCCAAAATCCCGACAGGGTCGAAATCCCGATTGTCCAATATCCCGACAGGGTCAAAATACCGACACGGGCGAAATCCCAATAAGGCCTAATGACCCCTTAACATACTTCCACAGCTGCAACTAGTATATGCTTTGATGACTAGCAAATCTGAAGAAAATTAAAAAAGATTATTCCAAGATTTAATTGATTTCGCTGAAGAAATTAATATTGAACTGAGGCCATCTAGAATCATTAGTGATCTAGAAAAGGCAGCTATAAATGCTCCGCGCACTCAAAATGCTGTCGAGGATTGGCACAGAAGATGGGAGACCTTAATTGGACGGGATATGTTGGCGTTTATAACATCATAGAAGGATTTCAAAAAGAACAGGAGCATGTGGAATACTAAGTTGAATGCATTCTTCGCGGAGAACAACAACCAAAACGTAGGAAGGTAGATGATGACAGAGAAAGGAGAATTATGACTGTTGTGGACGATCGTGATAATCGACCTGTGATGGAATATCTTCGTGCTATCGCTCACGATGTGTCACTGTAAATATGTCGTTCGCACGTGTAAGTGATGTTTTCTTTTTCTTAATAAAAAGAATTTTATAAATCTTCATTTCAAATTTTAACGGTCATTTCAATTTATTAAAAATTATTTTAAGTAATGACATAATTTTTATGATTTTTTGATTTAAACTTTTAATTAGTAATATGTAATAGTTAGTTAAAAATTGTATTTTATTAAGCTAAATTGAGTGTTTGTATTTAGATATTAACTCGGGATTCTGGCTTGTCGGGATTATGACGCAGACCCTAATAAAATATGTACGTATGAGTAACATTTGTTCTTTTTTTCCCTATTATTTTTTTAAATCAAAAGAAATGAAAAATGGGAAAAATTATTTCAAGAGTTAACATGGATTGAATGCAAATGCGAAATGCTCAATTCTCGCGAGAAAATTAACATTGTGGTATTCAGATCCGCTATAGGATGATATTGGTCATCAATACGAACCGAAATCGCAACAGTCTCACCTTTTTTTTTTTTTTTTAAAGAACACTAAAAATGAACTTAAATAAAATTAATTTTTCCAACATTTTAGATTGAAAAGTTTGAAGTTTTTACCCCTCAAATCTTCAAACTTTTCAATTTGTTTTAGGATTCAAAACATCCGAATGACAAAACTTAAAAGCGATAATTCGAATGTTTGAATTTTTTACAAGATTTGAGAATTTAAATATCATAATTTAAATATCCTACCCTTAGTTTATTGGTTAGGATTCCAAAGCTTATTACGACTAAAAAAGTAAGAATATTCGAAGTTTCGAATATTTTGCAAAATTCGAGGATTTGAATATTCCATTTTAACCTTAAAGGATAGCTAAAACAGAGAATAAGCTACAATTTCAATATTAGTAGAAAGGGATTTTCCTGATTAAAGAATATAATATAGATAAACCAAAACATGGAACGCTGAATTTTTTCCAGAACATTATAAAGATAAACCAAAACATGGAACGCTGAATTTTTTCCAGAACATTATAAGTATGGCACTCACGGCCGCTATGAGGCAATACCAGTGATTCAGGGCAAATGAGATTACACGATTCACGTTCATTTAGGAAAAGACGTTTAATGGGTGTAAGTTAAGATTCAAAAGCGCAAACATTCATTTTTTTTTTTAAATAATGGGATGTCGGGATTCAAAAAAACGTTATTCGGCTGAAACGTAAAAGTGATATGACGTATGGATACAATGTGCTCTCGTGAAGTTTTCACTCTAGTTATTTTCAGTAGTTATGTCATTATGAGCATGTCTCTAGCTTTATTCGGCACTTTAAAGTATATTCCTGCAAGACAGTCCCAAGCTCTTACCGTTAACAGTTCTTTTAAGTAATTTATTTGCAGCTTAAAATCAGTTGAGGATACAGCGATTACATTTAATGACAACATTCAGACATCTAAAAATGGAACAAAACAAAGGACTACTACGGAAGCAAATAACTAAAAGGTTAAGTAAGATGAGATCTTCGCTGGCCTTGCTTTTTCATTTAGAAGTAAGAATGAGGGTCATTTTAATGAGACCGCTGCTTCATTTAGTTCTAAATAATACAAGAAGATTGGTTCTTCAAAGTCATAAATATTCTAATCACTTTGTTCGAGACTTTGCTTAGTCCCTTCAGGCGGTTCAAAAATAAAAAAATAAAAATAAATCCTAATTATTTTTTTTAATTTCTTATTTTGCTCTTTCATTTATTCTACATCGTTAAACGAAACTGTTTTACCCCCCCCCCAGTGAGTTTATTTTTCTATACACTATGTATTCTGGTGTATAGAAAATTCCATACACAGATGCACAAAATTTATTTTTCGATGATTTCAAAAAGCTACATTGTAGAGACATTGGGTTATTTTTGATGCTCAGAAGTGAAAAATGAGCAATGCCCTCGCCGGGACT